TATTAGCAGGAAAGAAGTGTGTCCCATTCATTGAAGTCTTTTGTGTTTTGAGTTTTTGACGTCTTGTCCATGCAGAGCTTCCGTAGTTCAGTTACGTTCATAAGGAGCCTAAGTCACTTCCGCACCATGGGTCCCTGGAAGAACGAAAAAATGAACGGGGCTAAAAACACTATTTTCTAATTCCGCTTGTTTTGTGCCGTAGATTTCACATATGATGTCCGTGAATTTGAATGAATTTTGATACCAAAAACGTGCTCATTTTCGAACGATATTTTAGGTTTTGTGTGAAAGTAAGTCCAGGACTATAAATGCACTTCACCAAAGTGACGTCATCGAACCAGACACGGAGAAAATTGAGGGGAAAGGGCTGTAAGTTCAGCAAACTTCTCACAGGAGAAGAGATTATGTGGTGACGTCACATAAGCGATGTGCCGATTTCTAGTTTGTAGTCATGCTAATTACGAACTTTTACTGCTAACAAATCTCAAATTACGTTACTGGTGGGGTTGAAACACCCATCATTGCTTTTCATTTAAATTGCAGTACAACATATGTGCGATCCGAGGCGTAAGGTCAAGCAGATTAGGAAATAGTGTTTTTTTGCCCCATTGACTTGCTTTCATTTTTTGTTCTTCTGGGAACCCGGGAGTCACTTAGGCTCCCTATTACTACTGGCCAAAACTCAGTGGGGTTAAAGTCTCTTGCAGTTTTCTAGCTTTACTAAAATACCCGTCTGTGCTTATTTGATTGACGGCAGTTTTTATATCTTTTTAGACTCCAAAGTAATCATTTGGCACGTTCCTAATTCGTAATTTGTAAGAATGTTGTCGGCGATATTAGCATTAGCATCCCTGTGGGTTCTTCCATGTATATTAGCATTGTGGTGACCACTCGCTGCCAGTCAAATCGCAGCCTTTGCGATTGTAAAATCTCCTTTTGACACATCGCAATTTAAATGCACGTGCCATTAATCGTTCAGCCCTAGTATGGGGGGGGGGGGGGGGGGGGTCCTACGTAAAACAGAGGTGTTTTAGTAACTACGTGTAGAGGGATGGAACTGGTCTGTGGTGGGGAAGAGGAAGCTCAACCAGAAACCAGGGATGGATCAAAATGACATTTCGCTGCCGAAACCAAAAACCAAAACATTGAAAGAAATTATTATGTCAATAATTAGAACCGTAGCATTTATGGCTACGATGTGTTCTAACCTCGCTAAAATCAAGGCACTGCAATGAATCAGCTACAAAACTATGAAAATATTTATTTAGTACTGACACAACAACAATGCACAATATCAATTAAAATTCAGAATAAAATGTTTCACTTGGCCACACTCATGTACATTAAAGGGACAATAAGTAGTTTGACATTTTTATGCTCGTGATTGCCCCCTCAGGCCAATTGTGTAACTGCAGCTTCATTAGTAAGCTCATGCACGAGGCACGTATGATGTACGTGCACACTCTTGAATGAAAACAACAGCTGAGTCAGTCCTGTACCGGTGCAATTTACAGGTTTAGACTGTTCAATTCTAATAAATTAGACAAACACTACTCTGATGTATATACGCTACGCGGCTTTTCCCCCTTCTCATCTCCTCTGTTGTGTTTTCTCTCCATCTAGATCGTTACAATAACGGTGCACACAAACTGAGAGCGGGTGTCTCATGATTTAACCATCCCTGTGTCACTGAAGGAAATTCAGATGAGCCACAGAGCTGCGTGTGCTAACTGGACGGTAGTTTAAACTCCCACTAACTTTAAATGCCAAATGCAGGAAGGGCCAAAGTGCCTGACGGCTGCAGAGCCAGAGGCTGCAGATTCACTGCTGCACCGTCTCTAGCAGAAGCGTGAATCTGCAGCAGCAGCAGCAGGCGTAAGTCAGTGGCCTCCAGCTTTGAAGCTGAAGCTTTATCATCTTATCAAGAACGGTCTATGACTGGTCAGTCCACGTGCACGTGCACAGATTATCATGATCTTTCCTTGCTCGCAGAACGGTTCAGAGCACAAATGGTTTCTTTGTTGCTAATCTGCAGGGAATGTCTACAAAAACGTTCTACAGAAAGAAGCAAAGGGTCCTCAGAAATGTCGCTAGGCGCTTTTTCATTAACAAAAGCCAGTGAGGGGGGTCCAAAAGCCATTGGGAACAGCAACAAAATCACTGAGTTGGTAACGCTGCCTCTCACTCTGCCGCCAAACTCCAGATAGCAAACGCTACGGGCTACGCCTCAGCGTGAACGCCCATGACTTCATCACGCATTACGCTGCCTCTGGAAGGCACTGGGGAAGATAGCTTGTTTGACCCAAAGACGCTCTTTTTCTGTGATTTTACAGGAATACAGAGGCAATCACAGTAAAAATGCCAGGGATCATTCTACAGGACCAGGGCGTTGCAGGAGAATGTATGAGGAAGACATTTTACATTTCTATTGGTGCTTAATAAAATATAAATAAATAAAAGTAATAAACATAAAATGCACAGACTGGAAGTCTGTAAAATAAAAACTGTTCTCTAATAAAACCACAAAGTGTCAAGCAACCCCCCCACCCCCACCCCCACCCCCGCCTTCCTATGGGAGTCTCATGTTATGTTGTGTTGTCTGAAGTCTGTTGTATATATGCTTGAGGTGTTTTTTGCAGAGCAAAGCTGCCCTCCTGGTGGAGGGTAACTCTGAAGTGCCATTTTTTCCCTCCACCTGAACCAATCCTCATGTAACCCTCTGATCTCTATTAAGGTAGCGCGACTCGTGTTGCGAGTGACCACAGTCACCAGTTCTTGTCATGTGTCTTGCCCATGTATGTCTGATCTCTGAATTGTGTGTACTGGAACCCTAATTTCCCTCTGGGATTAATAAAGGATTGATTGATTGATTGGTTGGTTGGTTGGTTGGTTGGTTGATTGATTGATTGATTGATTGATTGATTATTATGTGGGTTTGAAGCTGAGACGTCAATCGACTATTAAATAAATGATGTTTATAATTTTGCCACAAACTTTTTCTAATGCTAACCCTTCCTCCCCACCTCACTAGTAACACACACAAACCCCTGTCACAGAAGTGACTGCGGAATTATGGCAACAGGGCTTCACTGTCACACGCTCTCAGAAACAACGCAACAAGTGGTTGTCGGTGCCAGAGATGCACATAACCAGATTATCGTGAACGAGAATAGAAGCTCAGATGTGGGTTACCACCTTCTGCAGCCGGGGAGTCAGTGTGTTGTTAAAGGACTTAATGGATTAGGTGAGGATCCACTCACAGGGAGGAAAGTGCAAACAAGCAGAGGAAGAAGGAGAAGGACTGCTGTATTTCTGGCACCAGGAGTGCACAATGACTTATGGAGCATGGAGGCAGCAGAGTGCATTCAGGAAGCACAGGGGGACGGACAGAGCAAATATTAATATTGACAGATCCAGGATATGGCACAAGAAATGAATAAATGCATGTTCTCGCTGCTAAACGCCTCTCAAGACTTCCTCCGCTACCGTAAACACGCTCACAATCAGCTGTTTAATAAACAACAGAGAACAGTTAAGAACAAAAGTGGTTTCACTGTTTCATTCTCAATCTGCCCACGTCAGCTGTTGTGTTCAGTTAAACCCGACGGGCACCGAGCAGCTTGGCACAAAGGCTTTCTGCAACTAATAGCTGAAATTATTTAAGATATGCAAATTAATTTGTAGTCCACATCTCCTTATAGACAGATTGGGTGCCTGAATTATTAAGGGGGTGGCATATCTTTTGGTTAATAATTCAGCCTAGTAGGAAAACTCCATCACCATCAAGCTGAAGTCAGTTCAACCATCGTCTTACAAAACACAGAAATAAACCATCATTTATAGTCTCAGGGTTATATGGTGGCTTCATGTTTGTGCTTTCTACTGTTGATTAGCTGTGGCAGCCTTCTCGAACTGGGCTGACTCCAAAAGTTAATCGCCTTAGGATGTTCGTCCAACGATTACTTTCTGATTGCTCCTAAAAATCTGTTCAGCGGGGAGGAAACTGGGCTGACTCGTAGAGGTGGCTACAAAATACGCCACGGTGCACTCAGACTGCGTTAAACGACTGTTAGCTTGTTTTACACCAAATGCCAACTGGCTGTGGCAACCATCTTGAAATGGCTCTGAAAAGGCGTTATCCAAATTCAAGGCTGTACCCTTTGAAGGCTGCATTTCAAGGCTGATTAAGTCTCAGTACTGCAACAAAGGCTGCCCAAATTCAAGGTTTCTCCAAATGAGTCCAACAAATGCGACCTTCTTTTCCAAGGATTGGGAGGACCTGGTGTGTCCTTCGTGACTCACTCTATCCTAAGATTAATTTATTTATTATATATTTCTCTAATTTGACTAATCATCATTTACTTCCTGTTTGAGAAATGCAACAAATGAGCACATCGAGAGAGTGGAGCCGCTGACGAATACACACACACACGCAGGCTCACAACAACATAGTGACATCACAATGTACCAGCTAATGTCATAGCGTATATCTTAGCCAATAGCCATGGCAGATTTGAATTCAAATGTAGTGCCGAGTTTTTACCTGAAGCGGGTGCAACACCGACCGTTTCAGGCAGAATATTTAAATTGCAACTAAATGATTGACTCCATGTGTCTTCAGCACAATTAGACACTCGTTTATATACTTTATCAGCAAAAAGAAGTTGATTTGTGGGTGACTTGCTCTTTAGGAGGTTTTTTGTGTTTGCTAATACTGTTGCTGTCTGATCTTGGTGTCTAGCAGGTTACAGATTGGTCCAGTTATGAGATGCGTGGCCCGAACAACACACTCATGCAAAAACATTATGTTCCGTTTGTCCCTTTCAGAGTGGAGATGATCAGTGAGGAGCCGTGGGTTTGTCCAACCAGCAGTGGCCATTATATCTAGTTTTATCTCCATATATCCAGCCTCCACCATCACACCATCCCCTCAAAGCATCCAACCATATCCATCTGTATCTGAACGGGCTGGATCTCCAGCCTCCATCTCTCTGACTCACCCTGACCCTCCAGAGGACCCTGCGCACCGCTGACCCTCGTCTCTCACCGTCCCCCGGTGTAACACCAGCCCTGAAGCCTCCCCCTGTCGGCTGATCCATTTCTCCGCGGAAGTGCTCCTCTACAGGAACACATCCAGATCGCTTTGGGCACAGACGCGCTGTCTCTCTCTGAAGCGTCCAGAAACAGCGCGCGCCGGTTGCAAACGTCTAATTGGAGCTTCCGACTGCGTCTCCCGGTCAGAGCGGAGTTAAGAGCTCTCCGTCTCTCTCTCACACACACACACACTCATTCACACACACGCAAGCACACCTGAGGGACACACGCATGGCACGTTGTAGCTCAAAACCCGGTTCAGGTTCCTCTTTGCGCTTTTTTTCGCCTTTCCTTCCTTGTTCCTGCGCAAAACACGCAGCCCGCTGCGCAAAGTGACAGCTCGATACATGCCCGCACACTTTTCTCACCTTAATGAATCAAACGCACACCGAGCGGTTTCAAATGACACCAACTGAAGAGAATTCTGGGTCATTTAAATGTTCTGTTTTTGAAGAAAACAAGAAAAAAAAAACACGCGCTTTCTTACCGGTTTTGTGGGAGCAGAAATAAGTCCAGATCCGGATCCGTTCATTGATTCATCCTTCCCTCCGTTCGCTCCCTCATTTAGCAGCTGAATAAACATTTCTCCTCCTCCTCCTCTGAAGCACAGCACAGCTCGTGCGCCCTGCCTCCTCCCTTCCCTCAGCAGAAAGGAGCATCCTCCTCCTCCTTATCTCTCTTGCTTGCGCAGAACAGGACAGCGAGGGACTAAAGGACAGAGCACATACAGCTGAGGACGTGGAAGGACTTGAGTTATAGAGGGGTTTAATGTGAATAAAACAAAGGAACTTTAAAAACGAGAAGCTCAGTTGGGTTTAGTTCACAGCAGCTGGATTAAGACATGATGCTTAAGGCAGAGATATGCAAACATCCAGATGTTGATTCAGACAGAACGAGCAAACAACAACATGAAAACATCTACTTAATATTCAATTTCACAACCTGATTCTTTGAAACCTCTCAAACTAAATAACTACACATATGACCACATATGGCCCACATTTGTAGTGCCTTTCAGAGTCAGAGGACTCCAAAGCGCTTTACACCGTCATTCACCCATTCACACACACACACATTCACAGTGATGAGCTACATAGCCACGACTGCCCTGGGGCACACTGAGTGAGTTGAGGCTGCCGAGCACAGACGCCATCAGTCCCTCCAACCACCAGCAGCAGGTGGGGTGGGTAACGTGTCTTGCCCAAGAACACAACAGCAGGATTCTCTGTCTGAAGCCGGGATGGAACCTGCAACCTTCCAAATACGGGACAGCCCACTCAACCTCTTGAGCTACTTCTGCCCCCAAAAATACAAAACATTTCATTAATACATCATATATATATATATATATATATATATATATATATATGTATATATATATATGTATATGTATATGTATATACATATATATAAATTCACTGAGGTTGCCATATGCATGTGGGATACCACGGTACTTGTAGCTGTCCTCAGTGTCTGCTATTGTTCCATCTGGGAGTGAGACCCCTTCTCTGTGGACTACCTTCACTTTCTTTGTCATCATCCGTCCACACTTCTCTTGTCTGAATGGCATTCTAATATCAGTGCTGTAGATCCTGGTGGTGTGGATCTGTGAGTCGATGTCTCTCTCTCTCTCTTGGCGTACAGCTTTATGTCATCCATGCAGAGGAGGTGGCTGACTGTGGTTTCATTCTTGAGTTGGTTTCTATAGCCAGTCTTGTTAATATTTGGCTGAGCGGATTCAGGTCTTTGCAGAACAGCAGTGGGGACAGAGCGTCTCCATGTGTATGCCGTATTTGATGGAGACTTGTGTAACTGGCTTGCAATTGGTCTCAAAGGTGGTTTTGCACAGCAGTTTGCAATGAAGGCTCTCAGAGTACTGTTGATGTTGTACAGCTCCAAGCATTTAATGGTCCATGAGTGCTGCATTGAGTCATAGACTTTCTTGTAATTAATCCAGGCCTTACACAGGTTTGTGTGTCTGGCTTTGCAGTCTTGGGTGACTGTTCGATCCGTCAGCAGCTGGTGCTGTGCTCATGTATTGATCCATGTGCCCACTTACCTTAGTTGCTATGATGCCTAGCATGAGCGTCCATGTTGTGGAGAGGCAGGTTATTGGTCAATAGTTGGATGGGACTGTACCCTTGGAGGGGTCCTTCATGAGCGGGATTGGGCACCCTTCAGTTAGCCATTCAGGGTGAGTCCCGTCCTTTAGCAGCTGGTTCATTAGTGCTGCCAAACACTCATGGATTGCAGTGAGATTCTTAAGCCAGTAGGAGTGGATCATGTCAGGTCCCGGTGCTGTCCAGTTTTTCACACCTGAGACTCTGTCCTGGATGTCTGCCACGGTGATGGATATTGGGTTCTGCTCAGAGAGGTTGATGTGGTCTTCTCTTAAGAGGCTAGCCAATTTGCATTGCTGTTTTGTGATGCTATCTTTCTCCCAAACGCCCTTCCAGTACAGTACAGTCTCTAGCCTTGGTGGGTCCTCTCTGTTATTATTACCCTGCCACTGACAGTTCACTGGTTGGGTCGAGAAGAGCTGGTTTATTTGTCTGGCTTCACCGTCTCTCGTGTAACTCTTTAGGTGGCTAGCCAAGGCTTAGAGCCTTTGTTTGGGAGTTCCCAGGGTTTCTGGCATGGGTTTCTGGCTGTAGCACTTGGGTCCTGGTTTTTTTCATTGTACCTTTCTGGAGCTCCAACAGTTGGCTCACTTATCTCCATGCTGCCTTGCTTTGGGCCTCCAATCTTCTTTTCCATGGTGGGTATTGTTGCTTATGGTTGCTCTTGCTCTTATTGCCAACATCTCAAGGATCACTGTCACTGACCATTCCTAACTGGAAAGGCACAGACTAACCAGAGACACACAGAAAGCTATTATTAACTTTAGTATAGTCTAAATTATTCATATAATGTGAGATTAACAGGAGAGTTCACAATGAAAAAGTCTACATTTAAAACACACCAACCATCTGTATGTATTCCCACAGGTCTCTGGACACCTGGACCACCAACAACTGTCCAGCAGTAATTATCTCGTGTTTCTACGACTCAGAAAAATGTTGAAAAGTCCACAATTTCATTCATTCTGCAACCATTCATAAATTACTTGTCATGTCTTTCTGAATGCCTGTGTATGCAGATGCCTGAGATTACTCTCATTGTTGGGACATAGGCCAGTCCTCAATATGCATACTTGTCCGAAATGGTGTACTCATGTCCTTGTGAAACGTCAACAACGATGGCCCACGGACTGTTCGAGTCCTACTTATGGATCGTTCGCTGAAAGTTCCCAGATGCGTTCTTGCTCCACCTATTGTATTGAGGATGCATCAATCCATCTTTCTGCGGACTTGGGACAGCACATCTCACATAATGCATTGCGTTTCAAACCGTTAAAGTCCGAACGTCAGAGAAGAAAGCAAATAACTGTAATCATTTCTATTACAAATATAAATAAAATAATATAAAATTGTTTGTTATTGTAAATAATCATGCTAAACTGTAAATTTAGCTGCGTGTGTTTGGGTTTTACTCTTCACAATGACTACGTTTACATGCAGCCAATATCCGGGTTATGATCGGGTTAAGGTCGGTATTCGGGTTTCTGAGTTGATCAGAATAACCCGTTTACAAGCATAAATAGAAAGAGTTACCCCTAACTTGCATAACCCGATTTAAATGTGGACGTTGGGTTAGCGTCAGGACGTATGGACTACGTCCAGACGCAATATGCGTCTTTTCCAGTTCTTCTTGTTCCGGTATCCGTGAGAGCAACAACACGTTTCCCAGTTCGGAAGAGATAGCGACCGCGTTTGTTTGTGCTTTAGTTTCCTCGTCACTCCAAAAGTGTGGTGCTGTGCCGCGACTCGCCATGTTGCTCCCAACTTGTTGTTTACTTCCGGTGTTCTGGCGCATACAAGACGTCTCGCTACTCAAAAGACCAAGATTCCTTGCGAACAGAGCATGCGCAGAACACACGCTTTGATGGGGATATCCCGATGTGCGTTTACACGACCAAACATTCGGGTTAGAAAAGGGTTACCCCAGGTGTAGTAACCGGGTTTTTAAAAACCCGGTTATGAGCATATCCGGGTTTTTGGCGGTGTTTACAAGGACCTGCGGAACCGGGTTATTGTGAATATTCGGGTTTTAAAAGGGTTACTGGCTGCATGTAAACGCACTCAATCCTTCAAAATGCTAATTAGCTAATCCACTATCAAAATAAAAGCACCAGAGGTCTTTTCTGATGAAAAATAAATGTATTTTATTCATTAAAGAGCTGGAAATGCTGGTATTTTAATAGTTTTGATCAAAAGTGGGCCAAATATAAATACAAATAATACATTTTTGTTGTTATTTTGTTATTTAAGGAACAAACTACATTTTTTTTATTTCAAGTTGTTTTTTTTTTTTTTTTACTGTAGTGGTGCTTGTTGCCAGCCACAACGGAGTACGGTTCTGTTCCAAATGCCATCCTCGTCTTCCCATACTCGGTAGAACAGAATTCCTGGTGTCCTTGCCAAGAACATACTTGTTTAGTACACAAGAATATACTAGCGTCCTTGAGTATTGAGAAACGGCCATAATGTAGACTGGGTTGTTGCTATCATGCAAATTCAAAAGGATTTGGACTGTCGCTAATGTTTAAGAGTCAAGTTTTAAACTATACTACCATTTTAAAATTTGCCTTGGACAGTATTTAAATGTTGTCATAATTCAGCAACGCAGAATTTTTAGGATTGTCCAGGAGAGGGGAAAAAAAATAACCTCAAGACCAAAATGTCTGTTTATCACACGCTGTTTGAATCAATGCTAATTGTTTTTCTGTCGAGCGGTAACAGCCCTACTACGTCTAGTTTATACTCATAAAAAACATTGTATTTTAAAAACCAAAGCTAATATTATGTGAAAGGCTACCACATTTGTTATGCTGGTCCCGGATCAAAGAAAAGTTAGGAGCAGTAGCTCTTCAATGATTCGCCTCTGGCTTGTGGGCGGAGCCAAGGGCAGGAACACTCTAGTGAGGTCTGCAACTTACACGCAGAGGACCTGAGTTCAATTCCAGGCTGGGCCAGATTTCTTTAGATTACTTTAGAAAGTTGGACTGAGCTCACTCGCACACACGCCGGTCGGGCAGGTGGAGGGAAGGAGGAGCTTAGAGCAGTAGACAGAGCAGGTGGATTACAAGGAACTCTGGGCAATCTGAGCATTGTGGTTCATGAAAATGTAACTTTTAAACCTCATGTTGAGAATCTGTTTAATACTGAAACTAAAACTGGGTTTCTTTTTGAGAAACAAGTCATGTTTATCTTTTAGTGCTAGGAAACGACATGCTCCTGCCACCTTCCTTCCTCATAGCAATGACTCTGCTTGTTCTCTTTCTTGAGAAGACTCAGCCTTTTGTAAGGAGCTGTGATGTATGACTGTCTTACCCACCAATGCACTCAGTAGTCTGTGGTTAACCCTCTGGAGGCC